CTGAAACCTGCGAAACTTCAGCTGGAGTGGGTAGCACTGTTTTGTTCCGGGAAATCTTTGGCCATGACTACATCCTCTCTCCTGTTTCCAAACCGACTGTGCACCGTAAACCTCCTCTGGCGCGTCCGAGTGTGAGAGCCTGAGTCGGTCAAAAGCCCCTGAAGCCTACAACTCCGAGTGTAAAAAATCCTGAACTCTAGCCATAGGCCCCATAGTAGCTCCTATTTGGGATTACCTTAATAGGATTCTATATTATGAATCCAAAAAGGAACTACTATGGGGCCTATGGGTAGGGACATAGGATTGCGAAAGCCCAGGTCTTCCCGGCTGTCGATGCGTTCTGCGCCGTGGGAGGTGGCGGTTTGTGCGCGAAACCGGGGCTGACTTGACGGGCAAGGCTGCACCCAGGAAGAACAGAAGCCTCCTTCAAGTTCTGCAACACGTAATATGGAAGCCTAAACCCTAAACCCTAACTATGTAGTAGATGGAATACTTCCTTGGGAATCCTGTATGCATTTAAAACTCTATTCGAATTACCTCGAACCTGTCAAAAGCACCGAAATTGCTCAAGCTTTAGGCTGTAGGCTTTCTAGTCGGTTGCAGGTTGGCTGGTGGGCAAATACTACAAAGCCTGATTTCTCCCACCGGATCGGCTGCTTCTTATGCTGCCAAAGCCAATGCAGTGCTCGGGATTTCGGTTTAGAGGTCTAAAGTTAGGGCTCAGGAGTTGAGGACACTTTGGAGCTTTGGTCGTCTAGATATCGAGGATGGGGGGGCTGCATTGCACTTTGTGGGATCGCTTTGCAGAGGGCATCAAGGGATGTCCAAGTTCCTGTTCTCTTGATGCCGTGTCTAACCTTTTCTCACGACCTGGCATGCCCTGGTATGTAGAACAGCTGTAGTATTTGTCTGGCGTTGTGAAATATCCGAAGATCAATCCACGTCCTCCTGGCAGTCTCTTCCCTGGAGGATTGAATGGAAGGTTGTAGGCTCACAGCATGGACCTTGCCCCATATAAACCACGGTCAACCAACCCTTAACCAGGGACGTCCTTGTCACAGGTCGCCTAGTGTAGACAAGGTAGCCTGGGTAGGCGCGATGAATACATGCTTTCCTCAAAGAACTCCTGTTTAAAGGCTTCGGTGCAGGGCCCTGCCTACTCTCCCCAAGACAATAGCCAGCCCCTGTGTCCTTCCACAGTTCTCGAAGTTTTCTTCCTCTAGCATATCTACGCATTTGCAGTGCCGTGTACTACTGTAGACGTCCGCAACGTTGTCTTCATGGGTTTTTACAACCACAAAACTCAATTACATTTGGACACTGCTATGCGGGCGCCAAAAAACTATTACATTTGGACTTAAGCCTTGGTAGCTGGTTGTTTGAGATGTCGTACGGATGAGTCGGGTCTGACGAAATGCTGTGTGGATAGATTTAGTGGACAATAATCGAAAGGTAGCTCCTGACTGCAAAGCTTGTGTGTCCGACAGTCTGTTGTCTGTGTTTCGCACCTCTCGCTTTTCAATCCTGTGTGTTGTGGCTCTGGTCATGCTTGTAGCTGTAGACGTAGGTGGGTGCAGTACACCAGCACAATGTGCTAGGCTGACGGTCCCAGAGCTGGTGATTGGGTTCGTGGATGTTGTTCGGAGAATCTCGGGCTTTCGTCGCCGAACCTGCCAAGAGTGAGATGCGGGCGCTCTGACATGGGCTGCACGCCTAACATGCTGGGAAAGCCACGGCGGTGTTATTCTGCTATTCCTCGAAGACCGTTCAGCTGTTGCGCTTGTTTGTTCAGAAGTGCCGACGGTGAAGGCAACAGCCGAAATCGTATCTATTTTGCCGAGCTATGATGGCGATGCTTATGTTCAGCTCCCTCCCTGTGTCATTCTCATGCATCCCTGATGTTCATGATCTGTACTGTGGCTGCGCGGCTCTTGGCAGATCCGATTCAACATGTCAGCGCGAGACAATTGAAACAAGCGCACAAAGCAACCCTTCAGGGATAACGAAGCAGCATCGCAGAAAGGTGCCCAGGGGCAAGAAGAGAGCAGCGGACCTATGATTTGTGTGTGTATACGTATATACTATATACATATATACGCACGCACATATGTACAGGTAGAAACAAGGATAGATAGACAGATAGTTGGGCAGATACGTACCCGAACATGGCGAACAGAGGCTGTCGGGCATACTTTATGGCAGCTATGATTGGACCAACCTGGACATTGCACATTTTGTCGCATGCAACAGGTCTCGCACGATGAGATGAATCTACACAACCTCCGCAGTTGTTCCTGCGCCGCGAGAGTTGCTACAACATGTAAGGTCTCTTCGCATTCTATACACGTATGAAAACTGCACGGAGCCACATGTGCATTTGCCGCTTTATGAACAGTAGCTTTCTTATGTTTGCGCGGATGCAGATCGGCACTGAAATGGCGGGGGCCTTAGTCATCATTGTTCCTGCGCAGGTGGACAACGCGCTCCACTCAAACCGAGTATTATCCTAAACCCTAAATAAAGGCTTTGTCTTCCGAATCCCAGTGTGGCTGCTCCACCCTGCAGAGCTGGGAGCAGTCTTTGCACGTCGAATGTTTTCATACTTGCTATATCACTTGTCTGCCATGGTCATATGGTGCAAGCAGTGTGATCCTTGCAGAGATCCGCCTTCATTCCGAGGCAGATCGCTCCCGCACCGGACAAGGCACATTGCGCGAGTTCCGAGCGACATTCACTTTCAGGGGTTTTAGATTTATGTTTAGGTGATGAAAAGGACTCGTAGTACGGGTCTCGGGCTTTAGGGTTTAGGGTCCCTTCGGTGGCAGGAGCCCACGCACTCGGAGATATGAGACTTTTGGTAAAAAGTGCCTGGAGTCGCTCTTCGATTGCGCCCACCATCATTGGCGCAGAAACAGACAGCGAAAGACTAAGGTCCCTCGATGTTCGTCGCGTTTGGACTCCGATTCAAGTCCCAGGCCCTGATCTGAACCCCAGAGAACCCGAAAACCGAAAAGCCAACACGCCCCAAGCCGGAAACGCGAGCAGCTTAGAAAGCCCAAGCTCCAAGCCGACTGAAAGAAGGTCGCTCAGACTCGCAGCTGCTGTCCCAGCATTGGGAGAGGGTGTTGGACAGGATAAGTGCGGTTCCTTAAGAGGCTAGCTGCGAAAGCATTTAACAAGGGCTTGCAGTGTATTAAGGGCTTCCTGGCTGATAAAGTTCGTTCCCTTCTTCTGGGTTTGGGGGTCTCTGCTAAAAGCCGGACATGACGAGAACCGGAGTGGCAAGAGCGTAGAAATAGCTGGCGGAAGCAGAACATTAACAGTGATGTCGTCACAGTCTCAGATTTGTGATTGCGGAAATCACAGTAGGATGATGATGGTGATCGTGCTCCCAGACCAAGCCGTCTAAGCCGTAGCAGTAGCAGCAGCAGCAGTAGCAGTGGCAGCAGTAGCAGCAGTAGTAGTAGTAGTAGTAGTAGTAGTGCTAGTACTAGTACCAGTACTAGTACTAGTACTAGTACTAGTACTAGTACATAGTAGTAGAAGTAAGTTAAGGAGCTGGTATGCAATTGGCCCCCATATCCTAAACTGTGAAGGGCGTCAGTCTGCCGCTTCTGACTTCAGTGTCGAAGCTGATTTGTGATCTCAGACTGACAACCCAAGGCCTTAGCCCTGAAGGTCTACATTGATTATTTCAGGCCCCAAACCTTGAACCCAAACGAACCCCCAAACCCACAAATTAACCCGTTGAAGCCCTGCAAGCCGAAAACCTCCCGAGCCCAAGGCCAAGTCCAAAAAGCCGCCAAGAGCCCTTTGCGTTGCTGAGTTATGTGTCCTTCTAGAGCCGGAAGTTTGACCCGAAGCTCAAGCTCAAAGGATCTCAAAGCTTTACGAATGATTCAAGAAGGGGGAGATGATCGAGCCTGGTTGGACCTGCAAGCCTTGTAGAGGTTTTCTAGAGCCCGTATGTCACCCCTGTAGGGGCTTTATCGAACCCTTCAGAACCCGTTCAGAAGCCTTTAATCGAGCCTGTGCACCCACGAAACCCAACAAGCATTCGCAACGCAACACAAAGGGCAGCGACCTTCCACTGCGGCCCCGTGGCAGATCCGGCCACCCTTCATGCGTTTTTTTACGTATTTGCTTGTTATATTCGGGCTTGGATTTATAGGGTTCAAATTCGGTAGCAGGGTCCAGGTTGCGTCAGAGAAGGCCCGTTACGAAAGCGGTTTTGGGATTTCTTAGTCCCATCTGCTGCTTGGATCTCATGCACAGTACTCGCATTCGCACCAACACTGGTAGATCTCATGTTTTCATGAACCCTAAACCCTAATTACTAATTGCCAATTACGTGCAACTAGGCTGCAAGCAGTGTATAGAACAGAGACAGAGAACAGGTTTTTGAGAGAAAGCTTCGTAGAGCCCCCCTTTGTCGTCACCAGGCTCAGATTCTCAAATTACAACAAAAACTATATGGCCGACCGCCCACCGTGACCGACCGCTGTTGCGTGCGAATGCTCCAGCTACCATACGACACTGATTCAGAAATTCCTGTGGAACCCAATGTATAGTGTTCTTTCGCGATGTTTGCCACATGCTGCTGAGTCCCAAACCTACTGTTCTCTCGACTGTACCCTGCAACGCGGGCTCGTCCCAGCTAGGTGAGAGGCAGGCAACCCCTAAACATGATACTGTGAGTCTGCTGTAGCCCTCCAGCATTCACAGACATTGTTTCGGTCGTTAGGTGGAGGCGGTCGCAAGGTGTTGGGGTTTAGGGGTTAAGGGTTCAGGGGGAGTGTCCTGGCTAATCCCTTGAATCCCTTGGGTTTGGATTTGAACCTATTTTAAGTGTCCTTGGTGACCTCTGGTGTTTGTCCCGGCCCCCCTGTACGACCACGAGATGTGAAACTCTTGACTTGAGTACGGCGCGTGCGTTGTGCCGTCGTCAACCGCTGCGAGTATGACGATAGACAATGCTTCTGGCCGCGGTGTGGGTGATGAAGCGAAGACGGTCAGAAAGCAGTTGATGCCAGCTATCCTTATGCTGATGAAGGCAATGATTTTGTGATCGAAGAGGAATGAAAACAATCCGTAGCGAACTCCGTTTCGTTGCTGTTCGGCTGCATGACCACCTCTGACCGGTTGCAGTAGCATGCTTCTTGTAGTCAAGACACAGCTATCAACGGTAATCTCGTTTCAGCCGCTTGTCGTCGTCGTTCAAGGTGTGCCGGGTCAATAGACACCACTGCAAGCTGCGCTAGGTTGCCTAGAAAGAGTTCAATCAGACATCCTGCACCGTGACTTCGAAACTAACTCGCAAGAAGAAAAGCCAAGCTTCAAAGCACGCACGCTGCCCTCCGAGGCCCCCAACACCAGGCTCGCTGCATGGGGCCGTGCCAGAGCGTGGTAGAGAATGGTTATGGCTATTACAGTTTGCGACTTTCAT